CCACCAGCCACTCCTTGGAAGGAAGGTTGGCCAATCTACTTCCGTTGTAATACCACCTCAGAAACCCAAGGAAGGGTCCCTATGAGTAGGGTCTGACAGGTCGGCTGTGAGTATGGTTTTGTTTTGGTTTGGGGAGAAGTCATAGTGCCAACAGGGCTATCTCGTGGGCCAGGGAGTGGGGATGCCAAGAGGGAGGGGCAAGGATACCAGGAGTTCAGATGCAGAGGTCAAGGCAGGTTGGAGACCCTGGAGTGGGGCAGGGCTGAGCCTCACCTTTCCCTTGCTCCAAGTTGTAACAGCTCCTAGCTTTGCAGGTATGCAGGAGCCCCATGGACATAAAATTGGCTGTGGTATAGATTCTGGCACTGACATTGGCTGGCCAGCGCTGGAAGAAGCGACTCCCAGAGAGATACAGCCATTTCTTGGAGAATGCCATCACCAACAGCAGGATGAAGGCAATTAGGCTGAGCAGTGAGGTCAGCACCTGTGATGTCCAGGTGTAACTAGATGACCATCGCAGAGACAGCACAGAGCCCTGGTGGTGGACTGGGACCAACTGCCTGTTACTTCTGGAAATGGAGCCCGGCACCTCCTCTCTTGTCCCAGCCTCCTGGCTTCCATTCTGTTCAGCTCCCCAGTCCTCCTCTTCCTTCCCAGGCCTTTGCTGCTTACTCCTTTCTTCTTCTGACTCTTGGAACTCATCCCAAAGGCCTCTGTTTCCCTCTGGAGAATGCCTTGTCCCCATTTTATCTTCCACCACATCTCCCTGTTCCCTTGCTGGGCTCAGTTGTCCCTCATCTTTTAAAGATTTTCATGGGGCAGAGCAGTTGCCATCAAAGGGCCTGGGCTCTAGAAATGAATAGGGGCTCTCTTACTAGGTATCTGGGTACCTGATCCAGCGCAAGATCCCTAACCCACTCAGCAGGACAGAACTCCTAACTGCCATGGAATATTCCTGGAGACAGTGAGATGGGGGAGGGGCTCATGGACCGGCATGTTCACCTCCAACTCTTCGGAAGCCCTGCTCCTGCAGGCACCAGCTCTGGACTGTGGATTTGAGGCCACCCGTCAGCTCCTAACCTCTCTTTGCCCAAGAACAATGGTCTCTGAGGGTCCCCTCTCTTCCTGTTTCCTCCTCTACCCTACCCCTCATCCCAAGTGCTCATTGGTGAGGAGGGGATGGGAAAGAGTATCTCCAGGAACACACCCCTCCATTGCTCTCGGAGAAGAGAGCACACAGTGGCACACATGGTTAAGTGGCACCAGGAAAAAAACCTGGTGAGCTGCTTCCCAAAGTTCAAAGCCTTAAAAACCCTAAAGAGCACAACCCTACTCTGCACATGTGGGGTCTCCATGAGTCACAGTTGATTCTACAGCAACTGGTTTGGTTTTGGCTTTCCATTGCTCTTTGGAAATGTCTTCCAAGTGTGTAATTAACCTCTGACTGTTTTCCACTGTCTTGCCTCCCCCCTTCTTCTGGTCCACAGAAGGCCAGTCCCTTCCCTCCTGTTTCATGTTCCCTTCATTTTTTATCTCAGCACCAGAGGAGGGGGGACATAGGATGAGGAGGGTGTGTAAAGGTGTCAAGCACCCTGAGATTTTTCTAACCTCCCTTTTAAGTCATAGGGAAAGAAATCTGAATCATCTATGAAAGCCTGGCTTCCAGACTTCAGATAAACAAACAAAACATTGCAATTGAGTCTTTTCCAACTCATGGTGACTTGATGTGTTATAAAGAACTGCGCCATACAGTTTCCTTGGTTGTAATCTTTACAAAAGCAGACTCTCAGAACTTTCTTCTGCAGTACCACTGAATGGGTTCAAACTGTCAACTTTTAGATTAGTAGTTGAATGCAAACTTTTTACACCACCCAAGAAGCCTAGACCTCATCGAGCCCCCTAGAATTCTCATGAGGAGAAAGCCTTTCAAATTAACAATATGAGTGTGAATCCCACCGGAACTGGTTTACTTTGGGGAGACAGTGGTGCATGTAGTTAAGAATACAGGCTTCAGGATCCAACAGGCCTAGGTATGAGTAATGAGTCTTCTTAGCCTCTGTGAACCTCACTGAGTCATATAGCTTCTATACGCCTTGATTTACTCATCAGTAAAACAGGGATAATAATACATAACTCACAGAGTTGGTTTGAGTACTGAGTGAGTTACCAAAAACCAAACCAAACTCACTGCCATCAAGTTGATTCCCACTCATAGTGACCCCTTTGGGTTTTCAAGGTAATAAATCTTTATGGAAGTAGAATACACACTCTTCCTTCCACGAAGTGGCTGCTGGAGTTTGAACTGCCAACCTTCTTGTTAGCAGTCAAATGCCTTAGGCACTATGCCATCAGAGCTCCTTTAACAAAAATAAACTCAAACAAGCTCACTGCCATCGAGTTGATCCCGACTCATAGCGAGCCCCTTTGGGTTTCTGAGGCAGTAAATCTTTACGGAAGTAGACTGCCAAGTCTTCCTTCACGAAGTGACCGGTGGGTTTGAACCACCAACCTTCTGGTTAGCAGAAGCTTCTTAAAAGCTCTTACTAAGCACCTACTAATTCATAATAAAGTCTCAGTACCATAAACTAAAACACAAGCTCACTGCTGTAGAGTCGATCCTGCTTCATAGCGACTCCTCCTTGGGTTTCCTAGGCGGTATCACTACGAAAGTAGATTGCCCAACCTTCCTTCCAAGGAGTGGCTGGTGGATCTGAACTGCCAGCCTTCTGGTTAGCAGTCAAATGCCTTAGGCACTATGCATCCTTGTGTATTAAAATGCAAAAGAACCAAGCCCACTGCCATTGAGTCGATTCTGACTCATACTGACCCCCATTGGATTACCAAGGCTGTAAATCTTTACAGAAGTAGATTGCCTCATCTTCCTCCCACAGAGCTGCTGGTGGATTTGAACTGCCAGTCTTCTGGTTAGCAGCCAAATGCCGTACCCACTAGACCACAAGAGCTTCTTGTAGATTAGTACGTGGAAATAACTGGAGCCTAAATTAGTTTTAGGCAAAAGGGAAGTTAATCATGAATCTCAAGGTCAAATGTGCAGCTCAAGAATGTGTGGAACTAGAAATTCAGATCCTGTGAGGCCTCTGCCTCTGCCTCTGGTCTCCACTTCTCCATGAACCTCTTGCTCTTTCTCTGCATACTGGGGGCCTCCTCGCTTCTGATCCACACAGCAGGAAATATGGCCCTCAGTCCCTGAGCTACACACCTTCTACCTTCCACTACTAGAGAGGGATCTCTCAGTCTCAAGTCCAAACATTCTCTGGCCATGCCAGGGTCCTGTGCCCACCTCCCCTGGAATACTCAGCCACAGTCAGGGGCACCTGAGTCAGGAGGGGACAGGGTTAGGGGAGGGGGTGCTAGGCCACTGGGAACATCATGTGAGCCAGTTGATAAGCAAGATTGCATTTCCTTCTTTGAATCCATTTTTGCTTTTCCTTGAGTTTCTAATAATAACAAGCAGTTGTGCAAACATGGAGCAGAGCAGATCTACTCTGCATGTCATGAGGTTGCCATGAGACAGAATGGACTCAATGATGATGGGTTTTTTCCTAATAACAATACACAACAACATGAAAGAAACTTGGAAACATGATGTTTCATGCAAAAACATAACTCCCAGAAGACTACACACAGTATGACATCATTTTTATAGATGTCAAAAACAGGCACAACTTGACAATGCATTGGTTAAACATGCATACTTTTTTAAAAAAACACATTTTATTGACATATAATCTACGTACAGTGAAATACACAAAACTAAAGTGACATGGGTCAATGGTTTTTTGTTTGTTTTTTTGTTTTTTACGTTCCCTTCCTTCCCCTCCCACCCTTGGTAATGAACAAAGAAAGTTTCCTTCCATATATAAACCTTTCCTTGAGCTTTTACAACAATGAACTAATACTACATTTGTTCTTCTGTGATTGACTTACTTCATTCAGCATAATGTCCTCCAAGTTCTTCCATGTTATGTGGTGCTTTGCAGATTCCACATTATTTTTTTAGTAACATGCATACTTTTATGATTGTGTAGTATTTTCTGAAAAACAGTGGAATGATAACATAAACTATAGTATGGTGGTTCCGTCTCAGGAAAGTCAGGGGAGGGGACAGGAGGATTACACTGGCACCTGCACATTATTGGTAATATTCTAGTTCTTGGGTTGGGTGATGAGTGCAGAGGTATTCATTAGTTTATAATCACTAATTAAAAACATATTTCATATAATCCTGTGAATGTATCAAATATTGATTTTCAAAAAATAGTTAAAAATAGCTGAAGAAAAGAAATGCAATCTCAATGACCACTAGTCCTGCAATGAAAGGTATTTATACATTCACAATATGTATGGTAAACACTGTTGACCGAGTTCTAACTTTTAGAATCAACAGATGGACAAACCTCAGAAAAGTTAATTATAGCTACAAAAGTAAACATACCTGCTATCAGCCTTGATGGTGCCCAAGTAAAAGTGTGGAAGAAGGAAACTGGAAGGTGGAAGAAGGAATAGGGAGTTGAAGGGATGGGGAGGGAGCTGACAACAGGCCCTCCATACAAGGTTGTGCAGGATGTGTACTGCACAAGAGCAAACAGCTGAGGGAGGGGAGGAGAAAGGGCCAAAATCCAGTCTGCATTCTGCTCAACAAGCCATGCTCCTTGAAGCGTGTTGCGTCAGCCTGGAGGAAGGGTTGTTTGTTTTTTTTTCCTGTATCTCATAAAGGTGCTGGGCCCCTGCCCCAGACAACCACCCCTTTATTTGCCCAGAAAACCAGTTGCCATCAAGTTGATTTTCACTTATGGTGATCTCTTGTGTGTCAGAGTAGAATTGCGCTCCATAGAGTTTTTAATGGCTGGTTTTTCATATGTGGATTAACCACTTGTGCTGCCCAGGGACATCTTCTTGTTAGATGCCATTGAGTCAACTCTGATAGCAACCCCCATGTGTAACAGAATGAAACACTGCCTGGTCCTGTACCATCCCCACAATAGTAGACCCCACAATAGTAGATATGTTTGAGCTCATTATTCCAGTCACTGTGTCAATCCATCTTATCGAGGGTCTTCTTCTTTTTCATTGTCCTTCTGTGTTACCAGGAGCTCTGGTGGCACAGTGCCTATGGCATTTGACTACTAACCAGAAGGCTGGTGGTTCAATCTACTTCTGTAGTGATACCGCCTCGGAAACCCAAGGGGTTGAGTCAGATCCAACTCGATGGCAGTGCGTTTGTTTTTTTGTTCTGTTTTACCAAGTATGATGTCATTCTCCAGGGATCGGTCCCTCTCGATAACGTGTCCTTGAAGTTTCACCATCTTTGCTTCTAAGAAGCAGTATGGCTGTGCTTCTTCTAAGACAGATTTGTTTGTTCTTCTGGCAATCCATGGTATGTTTAACATTTTTTGCCAACACCATAATTCAAATGTGTCAATTCTTCTTCAGTCTTCCTTTTTCCTTGTTCAGCTTTCACGTGCACATGAGGTGATTGAAAATACCATGGCTTAGGTCAGGCCCTCCTTCATCATCAAAGTGACAGCTTTGCTTTTTAAATTTTTTTAAAAAAGGTCTTTTGCAGTAGATTTGCCCAATTCAATTTGTCTGTCTGTTTTATACCTGGGAGCTCTGGTGGTGTAGTGCCTAAGGCATTTGACTGCTAACCAGAAGGCTGGCAGTTCAAATCCTCCAGCCACTCGTCAGAAGGAAGACTGGGCAATCTACTTCCATAGGGACACC